GAAAAAAAATTTTTTTTTCAAGTGTCTGTATATAAGTTGCTACAAAATAAGTCAAATAGATTGAGTTAACTTATTTGATATACCTTGCTTCCTGTGATCCGTTTTTCTGGTCTTCTTTTGCTTTGTAAATTTGATATAGTTTTGAAGAATTGATAAAATTTTATTTTCTAAGCCTTGAATTTTGAAAGGCGTCTCAAGAAATGTCATGCAATTGCCATCTATGTAAGAGATACAAATGTTAATTGTTTACACAATCAATAAGATTATTCTGTGCATCAACGGCATTAAAATGACGGTTTTCTTTTTATATATATATGTGTATGCAGGCTTCGGCAGGAGTAAATGAGTGCACAAGCTATAAATAACCCGTCTAAACCCGTCTTTGCGGGCTATGTGGGGCGTCTGTCTAGATAGTCTTGCACAGGCTTTTTTGAAAAATTAAAATTATTACGTCTTGATGAAATTTTGTTTATTCTGAAAGTTTATTTTGTTGATTTTTCATGCCAGTTATAGTCAAAATTTTAATTTAGTTTTTTTAGTGATAAAAAGACAGAAAAACAACTTGCAAAAAAAATAAAACCTAAAAGTTTTTTAAATAATTTTTTATTTATAATTTTTATTTAATAATTTAGTATTAATTAATTTTTGAATATTGTTTTTTATTTATTAATTAAATAATAAATAAAGAACAATATTTAAAAGTTAAAATATAATGAATCCTTCTAATAAAATAACAATATATAAAAAACTGTTATACATCATATAGTTGTTTTATAAAAACGAATGATCCTAATTATTTTATTATGTTCATTCATTTCTCTTCTTCTTTATTATTTTATTATGTTCATTCATTTCTCTTCTTCTTTGTGAATGAAAATGTCATAGTATATACAAATTTCTACAATCATTAACAAGTAGGAGAGTGACAAATCATTTAAAAAGACTTTGTTAATGGTAGAAAAACAGCTTTCGCAAAAAATGGCAGAAAAACAGCTTTCGCAACCATCACATTTCTTTATTCAAGTATCTTGATGTTTACATAAAAAATTTTGCAATGAACGTTTTTTTTTGCAATTTGCAAGATCTAATTGCGTATTAATATATTGTCTCATTAAAATATTGGAATAAAGTATAACATTTTTTATTGCGCTTCTTTAGTTATTTTATTTTTCTCGTGCTTTGTAATTTAAATTAAATTTTAAAAATTTAACTTTGATATCTCTAAGATATAAAGATATAATGACAATTATATTAAAATCTTTTTTTAAATAAACCTTGAACCAAAAAGTTCTATTCTTTTACAATTGTTTTCAACTGTTTAGACTAAAATTTTAATTATTACTATCGTTAGCTTTTAATTTACTATCATTATCTTTTATGAACTCGTAATTGATTTTATATTCTTTTCTGAAATCAGGAGAAGATATGTTATGTTAATCACTATTGTACAAAATAGCCTACAACTACTTTGAGCTGACCTGAGAAAACTTTGACTGGGTGAAAGTATAATGTTTCCTGACTCCAAAAATGTAAAATTTGAAATCTAACTATTTTGTCAGAGAAAATAAATTTCATTTTAAGTTTTAGCCATTTTGCACAAAATGGTGAAATGATAACTTTTCAAATTTTTTTACAGCATTCAAAGGCATTCTAAAACTAATATTTATTATTCCAAACATACAAATATAAATAACAAGGACAAAGATGGGTACAGATTTCTACAGAAATTTGGAATAACCATTCTTTCAAAAAATGTGAAACTGCAAAACAAATTTTCTGTAAAAACTTTTTTTTGATGCTTTAAAACACTGTACTTTGGATTCTCATAAATAACTAAAAGAACTAGTTTCTCAGTTTAAACTCTTCTAAAAACTAGATTCTTTACAATTGCTTGCTGTTGTAATCCAACACAAGAAAGAAGCCTCTTTGCATATTTTGGATGATTACAATCTCGATTTTATCTTTGCCAGTGTGAGCTAAAATGATGATGCATTGATTCTGTTGCCTGCTCACTAAAGATACCCAATATAGCCTTTTTCATTTCAATAAATTGCTTCACATGAAAGAAAACAGCATGAACCTTTGGGGTCATACTGATGTTCATAACTGCCAGATATGAGTCTTTGAAGCGATCAACTTTTTCTACAAAATCATCCTCAAGGATCATTCTAAAACATGCTGTCACCAGACTTAAACTTTCAAACGGCATCAATGATTCCAAAAACTTGAAAAGCAGACTCTGACTCTGCAATCCTTTGGAGGATATTTATATTGTTGAGTAGCTTGTGGCAGGCATTGCCTGCAAACCAATGGCTCTTGTTGGATGTGGAGAGCTGAGGGCCATTTGAAAGCACCAGGCCAAACTTCTGTCAAGGCTTTGTACATGTGGTTTACCACACCAAGAAGCAGATGGAGCTCCATTGGGGGTATAAGTTCCAAGGTGAGTTTGTTTTCAGATACAGGCAGCAATGGTGCATTGCACTCTGTATCTAAAAACAAAAAAAACCGTTATATAAATTAAAATATATATATATTTTTTACATTTTTTTATAAATAGAACCAATAGAAGGGTATTAAATGCAGTATTATTTCAGGTTATTGCTGTGAAATATATTTTAATGTAGTAAATATAGTGCAAGTATAAAAATAAAAATAAAATGTGAAAAATATAAAAACAAAAATAAAATTTATATGGTATATAAACCTCTACAATTTAATTTATCAGTTTAATCACTGGTTTACCATTGAGGTCAAAAATTAAAAAACAAAAATTAAAATAATTTTATTATTCAACACAACAATTTTCAAAAAAAAAACTTATAACAATTTAATTTGAGATTAATTGAAATCGATCCGTAAGTTTATATAGATGTCAGTAGATATTTATCTAAAGTAATGAAAAAGATGTAACCATTTAAGAAAAAAATTAAAAATTTTTTTTGACAACTTCCAGCAACATTTTTTTTACTTTGTCTATTTCTTATTATATTTTCTAAGAGAAAATATAAGTATAGAGAAATATAAAATATACTGTAATATGCGCAAATTTATGCATATAAACTTACATGTCCACAAATAACAGTCTTAGTTTATTTATTATTTAAATTTTTATTTTAGTTTTTAAACAATGAACAACATCAATTTTTGAAATAAAAAATATATAGGGTTTAATATGCTTGCAGACCTTGCTTGAAAGACCACATGGAATATAGAACCAATAGAAAATAGAAAAACCTAGAAACTACTTTAAAATAGAAAAGCCTAGAAACTACTTTAAAATAGAAAAAGTCTAGAAACTACTTTAAAATAGAAAAGCCTAGAAACTACTTTGAAATAGAAAAGCCTAGAAATTACTTTAAAATAGAAAAGCCTAGAAACTATTTTAAAATATAAAAGCCTAGAAACTACTTTAAAATGACGTAAGATGACTATTAACTACTATTAGATATTAAATTAGCGTATTAAAATTAAGATAATTAATTTGTCCTCACTTTGTGATGTCAAAAACTTCATTCAATGGATCGTATTTTCTTATGTCTTCAGCACTAGATCCAGTTTTGCCTGTACGACTTGAATTGATTAATGTTGCTCATTGATCAGACAACTTATATAGTCTAAATCTTGCTAATTTCTATAATCTTCTAGAAGACTTCAGAAAAATTCAGAAATTAGAATTTTCAGAATAAAAAAGTTTTAAAGATTTCTAAAAACATCCAGAACATTCCAGAAATTATTAGAGAGTTTCAGATATTAAAATTCAAGAAATTTCTAGGCTTTCATAATGCTTCTCTAAAGTTCTACTAATCATTGTAAAATTTATTATTTGTAAAATTATTTATTTTATGAAACCTTTGATTAATTTGATAAAATTAAAATATGTCTTATTAATATAACAAAAATAAAATAAATATCTTTTATAACAATGCTGACATTATTCAAATTAAAGTTTAGTTGATTATTGATGCATAACATGGATTGAAAGCCACATTAGAACCAGTAGATTAAGAAAATAGAATTTGATCATTTTACTTTTATAATTTTTTTTGCATTGTTGCAACTAATTGTATCAAAAAAGATTGTTTACGACTTTGATTTGCATCAGTAATGCTTATCAATCTATTGTAGGACAAAGTTTCTTATCAAGCCTTACAGTTTTCCAAGTTGAAGGTACAATTTAAGAAAATATTGACAGGAAATTAGTTTAATAACAGAAAAAAAAAAAAAAAAAAAATCAGCAAGTGAGAGACACTTTCTAGTCAATAGGCTAATTATATCTTTATATAATAGGAACTAAAGATGACCCTGAGAAGAAGCATCCTTTGGTAAAAAATTACTTTAATTCTTCTCTAATGTTATATTTAAACAAGAAAATAGCATTATGGAAACCACATAAATTTGAAACCACAGTTAAACTTTAAAAAATAAATAGAAACAAATGAACAAGTTTTATTTTTCCATTTTAAAATTTTTTCATATTTATTGTGGATTAAGGGTATTGATTTAAAGTTTGCACAATATATTACTTTATGCATATTTTCAAAGGGTTTTGAAAAACTTCATTTTTCTTAATACCTTACATTACAATGTACTAATTAGTTAAAGTTAAAAAATATTTAATTAATATACAACAATTTAATAAATTAACATTTGATGTTTATAAAACATCAAATGTTAATTTATTAAATTGTTGTATTTTTCTTTGTATTGTATTTTAGTTAATGAGAAAAATATTTTTCCAATATTTTTCTCAAATATTTTCAATATTTGAGAAATTAAAATTTAGAAAAGTATAATATTGGAAAATATTTTTCTCCTTAACTAAATTAAATCTTTTGTATAAACAACCTAGCATGCACACTATGCCAACATCAGAACAATGTTGGGTCAATACCACAACAATATTAACTAAACTTTTCCCATGTTTCAAAGCTGGCCTAATCTAGTGTGCTAGCTGGGAATTCTTATTTAATATCAATTAAAAAAATATTAATTTTAAATAGGTGGTCATACAGCTGAGATGATGCGACTTGTTAATAGTTTATCAAATAAATATTATCCACGTGTGTATGTGTTAGCTGAAAGTGATAAACAAAGTTTAAACAAAATTACTGAGTATGAACAGATAAAATTCAACAAAGAGGTTTGCAATATACAAGCCTTTATTAACAGTTGTATATTGATTATTTATTTTTATTATTAATTGTTTATATACAGTTTATTTTAGCAATTTTTTTTATATATTATATATAATTTTTAAATTTTAATTCTAGCCAAATTTTGAACGAATATATCGTAGCCGTGAAGTAAACCAATCCTGGTTTTTAACATTGTTCACAAGTCTATTTGGCTGCTTCCAAGCTTTTTTTATTCTTTTGAAGCATAAACCAGATCTGGTAAGTCTTAAAAATTTTTTTGAAACTATTATAAATTTTATTTATGAAAAATTATGAATAAAAGAGGTGAATTAATTTGATTTGTAACATCTCTAAGCCCTAAACTTTGAAACTAGAACCTTGTTAAACAAGAATGATGCAAAGAAACAAATTAAACACAGCACTTCAAGAAGCATAGGGTTGATTTGAACCTGGAACCTCTTGAGTCATGATGTTTCATTTAACTAAGTTGCATCTGTTCACTGTAAGCAAGGCCAAGGCCAAGACAAAGGACAATAGTTACAAAGCCAAAAGTTTTAAGGTCAAGATCAAGATTAAGATTTTCAAGGCCAAGACCTATGCAAACAAAAACAAATACTTCAATTTTTGCCTTTAAGGCCAACTATCAAAACTGTAAGTAGCAAGTGCTGTGACAAAAACCACATTTTGTAAAAATAGACCAAGGTTATGTGGAAAATTCAACGAAATCAATAAATGTATTTCTTTTTAAGGCCAAGGTCAAAACAATCAGGGTCAAGACCAACAGTTTGGCAAAGGCCTCAATTTTTGGCCTTTAAGCCAAAAATTAATATTTCTGAAGTTTTATGTAATAGTGGATTTGTAAAACGTGTTCAATTTATAATATATAACTAAGATAAAAGATATTTTAAACTTAAAGAAGAGTTGTTGAGAAGTAGTAGTGTAATCAAGTATGTTGATGTTTGATAGCTGGCTGCAAGAGAGCGAGACATTCATAATCATAATATTCATTAAACGTATTAATCTTATTTTTAAATTTTAGCCTATTTTTCTAAAAGTAGTAACAAATACCTGTTATTAATGAACTAATAATCAACAAACTAGTTGCTGTTTTTCATTCTATACCAGTTACAAATTTGATGGTATTAATATGTTTATAACCGAACCAAATTTGCTATAAAAAATAATATTACTTTCACAATCAATAATAAAGTCTTGAAATTTTTTTCAAAAACGTTTTTGAGGCCAAAAACTATTAACTCTGACTATAACTGTTCCTTAATGTTCACAAAACTTTTATTTAACATATTTATTTTTTCTTGAACATCTGTGTTTTGTAATTCTTCTTCATGTTTTCCGGGCTCAATGTACTTGGTCTTCAGCTCTCTTCTTTTTTTTTTAACAACTTGATTTGTTATTGTGTTTGCTTAACTTTAATTTGTGTTTTTTTGCTTTACTTATTTATCTTTAATTTCGCTCACTGGTATATTTTTAGTAAACACTTTTCAACAAAAAGTTGTGGTTACAACCCTCTCTTAATTCTATAACTCTGAAAAAAAAAACCTTGATGAACAAGGCTGCTGCGCTGAGAAATAAGTTGAGCCCGGTATTACCAGGGATGTGGTGTGGATTGAACTTTGAACTTCTTGCTTATAAGGTGAGCGCTCTACCACTACACCACTACCACAAAGTATTCAGTTTGAATGAATTGTTTTAATATTTTTTATGGCTAAAGAAAGAGAATATAAAATCATTACATTAATAATAGAAAAAGACTTAAAACTTTAATTTTTTTCTTGTTGTAGAACAAAATCATCCCATAGGTTTCAATATTAAAATTTAAAACATTAACTAATATCTTAGCATGCTGAAACCTTAATATTTTTTCTGTTAAACTTCATTGCTGTTTACATAAAAAACTAAAAGTAACGATCACTCAAAATTTGTAAATAAATTTTTAAATTATAAACATCTATTAAAGGGATCCCAAACTCCCAACACATGTTGTGTTCATATTAAATATAATGTTAAAAAAAAAGGTTTGAACCAAATTTTTTTGATTAAAAATAGATAATGAATGCATAGCGTGAAAAAAAAATGTTGTTGTTTTTGCCGAAGCTTGTCTTCTCCTTTTTTTTCAACTACTCGGAGTCTTCAAATTATGCCTCGCAATCTACAGACTTTAGCAATTCCTTTGAAGCGTGTTTAATTCATAAAAGTTTTAGTATTTGACGTCACGGTAGACTTTTAACAAAAGAAAAGTGTAATTAAACTAAGCTGCATTTTTCTACTGTAGTATTTTTTTAACATACAGCAAAACAAATTTATTTGTATTATTTTTCTAAACATCGCAAAAAAAAGTTTGTAAAAAGAAAAAATGATAAATTATTTTTATTTTATAGGAGCAACTTGTTTTTTACAGATATCTTAATAATTTTTCGATTTATATATCTTACTTATATTTCTTTTGTTTTTAAATTAAAACAAATATTAAAGCTTTACTTACCAATCTTATGATTTTCTTACGAGTATTTTACATTATATAGAACATTATATATACGGTCTCTCGTTTTTGTGCAAGAGAGCGCAGTATTATATATTCTAACTTACATTAAACAATCAAAACTATTTTCTAACTTCTCTGGTCATTTTTACGCTATGAAGTTTTTTGTTTTTCTGTCGAAAAAAAGTAATTACAAGCAATTGCTTTCATTTAATTAGAGATATTTGATAAACTGTTAAATTTTTTTATTATAAAAATTTTTTGATTACACTGATTAAATTTAAGTTGCTGAACTTGCTAAATTGGATATGGATAAAAAAAAATCATTTCATTTTGCATTTGATTTTTGATAACAAAACTTTTGAAATATCGGCAACTCCATACCAATTAGAACCTGTTAAGGTTATGAAAAAAAAGAACAAGAACACACCAAACAATACAGTTGTCAGTATTATCAGATATGAAAGTTTTAATGTTGTTATGGCTAATGCGTCAAAAATAAATAACAGCAATAACAGCACAAGCCGGCATTATGAATTTTAAATAATAAGTTTACTGTTCAATACTTTAAACCATCAAATTGAAAACATGAAGTATGTATATTTTTGCCCATTTTATACAATTAACATTTAACAAAAATACAGACAAATTATTGTTAATTAACGCAATAATGACCACATTAATTAATGGCAACAACTCAAGACGGATAGTAATTTAAATTGTTAAAATATTGCAACACGCATTAAAAAACATTATATTTGGTATTTCCCAATTTATGTGCCGTAATTTGTGAAAACACCTAATGAAAATTTTACTAGGGCCTTTTCTGATCTTAGACAATATCGCATAGTTTTAGGGGCTTTTTATTTATTGCTAAGTTGTTCTAAATAATAAGTAAATATAGTTAAAGTTAATATTTTAATAATTACAGTTGCAATATAACAAAAAAAAGATGTTTAATGTTGAACTTTTTAATTAGTTATTTATTTTTTACCTACTTTTGTTATAAAAAGACTTTAGTACCCCCGTCATTTAAATAATTTGTTTTAAATATATTTCGACGTGATTATTCAAACTAATTTTTTTCGTTTGACTTCCCCAAGCAAATTGAGACAAAATATCGTCTAACCAAATAAAAATGTTGTTACTAATTTTATACGGGTAATTAATGTAAAATATTTATTTATCAGAGTCTTATAATTGAGATAATAATTTTATATGCGTAATTAATGTAAAACATTTTTTTATCAGAGTCTTGATTGAGATAATAAATATTCATAATTTATAAACATTAAATATATGGCGCAATAACAATTTATAGCAATGAACCAGCATAAAATATTTAAGGTTTTTAATATCTTTTTAAATATTAAAAGTAGGAAGAAAAAAAAAACTAAACAAATAACCAAAAAAATTTTGACTAAAAATAAATAAAAATATTTCCAGAGTTTCTTTTGTTAAAAGTCTACCGTGATGTCAAATACTAAAACTTTTATGAATTAAACGCGCTTTAAAGAAATTGCCAAAGTCTGCGACGCATAATTTGAAGACTCCGAGTAGTTGAAAAAATGGAGAAGACGAGCTTCGGCAAAAACAACAACATTTGTTTTTCACGGTATGCATTCATTATTTATTTTTAATCAAAAAAATTTGGTTCAAACCTTTTTTTTAACATTATCTTTAATATGAACACAACATGTGTTGGGAGTTTGGGATCCCTTTAATGATTTTAGTTAATTTAAATAGGTGATAAATCACTTTTCTTTTTTTTTTTAATTTAATTAAAAATTAACTAAAAATAAAGTTAAAAATAAAAAGTAATTACAAAGCAGTTATTTAAAAGTACTTTGATGTTATCACACCTCTAAGATAATATGTTATCACACCTCTAAGATAATATGTTATCACACCTCTAAGATAATATGTTATCACACCTCTAAGATAATATGTTATCACACCTCTAAGATAAGATGTTATCACACCTCTAAGATAAGATGTTATCAAACCTATAAGATAAGATGTTATTACACCTCTGTTTTTAATAAAAAAATTTAATGATAGTTATTTCAGCAGTTAATTTAAATTTGAGTTAATTGTGTTTTTGTTCAAAAAAAATGCAATTAATATTATTATAAGGGGAAAAATGAATAAGATTAATTAATCATTCGAAAAAAAAATTGATTGTCAAGTCAGTGTCATGTGTCAGCTGGTCAAATCAATCATACACTTTTTAATTTTTTTTTTTTTCATTTTATGCATATACAAAAATTCAATTAAGCATTATCTGCTATATAAGTACCATATAGGCCATTTTGCTAAAGAAACCACTCATATTTTTTAGTAATGCAATCACGCTCAGTAATTACAATCACACTGTTAGTAATGCAATCACAATCAGTAATTACAATCACACTGTTAATAATGCAATCACACTCAGTAATTACAATCACACTGTTGCCTCTTTGTCACATACATCAGCATCAAATTGTTTCAAATCGTTCAATTAAAATACTATTTCCTCTGAATTTTAATCTTAATTTAAAGAGTTATTTGACAGTTGATTGGTCGGAAATGTTCTCAGTAAAGTAAAAACTCTTAACTGATCATCTAGAACAACACAAAATGTGTTTTCTCCATGACAACACTTGATCTCATATTGTAAAGTTGATATAGTAAAAGTTATAGGAATTTTTGTGGATGATATTAACTCACCCACCATTTGTGTGGATTACCTCACCCACCATATTCACCAGACTTAACCTCAACCAGTGATTTTTTTGTTTGTTTGCTGAGCAACAATCTACAAGATTAAACTTTCGAAAACCTTAAAACCTTTGAGAACCTACAAAAGATCTTAAAACCTTTGAGAACCTACAAAAGACCTCAAACTTTTGAGAACCTACAAAAGACCTCAAAGCTTAAATAACCAACTTTTTTTGTCTCCAAGCCTGAAGTGTTCTATTCTCAGATCATCCATTGTTTTATTCTCAGACCATGTGCATGTTGATAAAATGTCATAGACAATTTTTGCACAACATATTTACATGCACAGGGCTTAATTTAATTTTTTACAAGGTCCTGAACAAAATGTCTAATCAAAATTTGTTTGGGTCAGACAGTGTCCTATCAAATTTTTAAAATACAATTTTTACGGTTTAACGGAACCGATTTGAGCAATTGAATTCTTTCTCATTTTATTTAGTTTATTTAGCGTAAGTCTAGTGAAGTTGTAGTTTCTTTCCTTATTATTTAGAATATTTCATCACAGATTTTTGTTTTTTAAAAAAATAGTTTTAATTTAATATTGTGTGTTTTTTTAGATAAACTTAAATTTTCATGCTGTAACTGACAACGCTTATTTTTTTTTTTCTTTGCAAATTGACAATGGCTCTTTTGATGTTTTAACAATTTAAATGCAATAAAACAAATGGTTACGATACAAATAACTTTTAATCATTGATCTTTTTAAAATTTTTATTTTACGCAAAGGTTTTTAAGAAAATCAAAAATAATTATAGTGATCATTTAAAATAAACGCATGTGTAAATTAAATGTTATATTAAAAATTTTTTTAGTAGGTATGCATTTTTATAATAAACTTAAATGTTTGAAATGAATTATTCCATGTCTTTCTAAAAATCTTTTAAAAGATTATTTTTTTAAGTTACTTAAAATTATGTCTTCCCATGATTTAATTGCTTTATTTTTTTTGTTTCTATGTTTACAAATAATTGTTTAAAAGTTTTTTTTATTTGAACTTGCTAATTAAAGCATGAAAGTATTAAAAATTAGGATTTTAAAAGACTACGTTGTTTTTTTAAACACTTTGTTTTTTCCACTTTTTGAAACAAATGTTTATACAACTTAAAAATATTATATCTTTTTCTTTTCAATAATTTAATTTCACTTTTTAATTATTTAAATAAAATTTGTTCATTTATTAAACAATCAATAGAATTAATTTGTTTAATCGTTTGCGTAACTTTAATTAAACGTTTTAAAAGATAAGTTTTAAAGTAATTTTTTTCATATGCAACTAAAAATGTAACAAAAAGTAATTTTAACTTTGAGTTTTTTTAGTTTTATTTTAAAGCTTTACTTATTCTTTAAGTTTTTTCAATTTTTTTCCTAGTTTAAGTTTGGCTTAACGTTTTTTTTTTCAGTGCATTTCTGAAACATTTAAAGCATCAAAACATCTAAACAGTCGTTTTTAAGTTGTAAACAAAAAAAATCATTTGCGTGGTCAGCAATAGCCTTTGATCGCACCCCATTCCTATCCAAGCTTTATTATGTAGAATTTAATTCCTGTTGATCAAAATGTCCAATTACTTTGTTAATTGATCGGACAATCTGAGGTTTTAGCTGGACAATGTCTGACCTTTAAATTGAGCCCTGCATGCATATAGTTTAAAATTAAAAAAAAAAAGAATACTTTTTTTTTTTAATTTTAATTTTTCTTTTAAAAAACGATAATATATTAAATTGATGACCATTAATAAAATATTAAATTCATATAGTTGACTATTTTTTTAATCATGTTTAAATTATTTTTTTTTAAATTTATGTTTATGTGGTTTTTATAGTATCATGAATCTATTCACTTCACTTGCTAAGCAGCAATTAGTTACTCTTGGATTGCTTTTAATGAAAATCATAAAGCAGTATTGTACATGGTCTTTAACACCGTCAATTTTAATTGCCTTTAAAGACTGTTTTATGCCCTTTATATACTCAAATTATGAAAACTTCTTGAAAATTCCAGAACTTTCAAGGATTTTTATGAAAAATTGCTTATAACTTTTCTGCAAACCCAATATATATTTTTGTATTATTGCATAAAATGTCATACTGAAATAGCCATCTATGAGGACTTCAGTACATTTATTGATTGATGGTTTATATTTGAGCTATACTATCTAAATATAAAGAACTTTTGTTATATATATATATAAAACACTTTTTGCTATGCCATAATAAAATCATCGAAAGTCAAAAAAAAAGAAAAAAACCTTTTTCTTTTTTTAAAAAAACTATTATGATTCCAGTCAGCATTTTAAAACTAGAAATTAAAACTTAATAATTTAGTTACTGTAATATTTTTTTTATTAAACATAAATTATGGATGTTGTCATAACCGCTATAATAAGTTGCATTTTGCAAATATTAGGTATAGATTATCCATATGTGCAAAGAATACTTTATCATGTTTATTATAATTTAACAGCTTTCCATATCAATTTTTAAGCATACACAAGAATGTCTGAAATATAATTACAATTACGTGTTCATTTTTTTCAATGGAAATTGAAAAAAATAAAAAATGGGTTAATTTTTTTAAATACTAAATTGAAAAAAATAAATCCTCTTTTCTTAAATTATCTTGTCAGATAAATAAACATGAGTTTTGTTTATAAAGTACGGATTACTTTAATTATTTTTTTTGAAAAAATAATTAAAGTAATCCGTAAAAAATTTGGAATAATCTAAGTCTCTT